CCACTCAATTTTATCAAAATGTAAGTTTTGAAGTCTCTTACTGACAATACATCTTACATGCTCGCATGGTGCCGAATCAATCAATTAAAAACCAAAGCGTTATTTTCTAATAATTAACACATTATTTGTCATTATGTACATTGCTTGTACCCTCATGTGGTGAGGCTAAAAACCTTAAGAATAAAATGTGACTTCTAGAGAGAGCGTAAAAATTTTAGTCTAGTGCTTTTTTTATGGTTATACATTGCGTACCAAACTGCATTCTAATTCATTGTACTTGTACTTCAGGTTTGTCTTTCAGTGATCAAATGCACTTTCGAAATTTTAAAACAAAGCATCAATTTGTCGAGAAGGCGCATTGGTGAAAAGTATCATTCAGAATTGTGCATCCAGATTGTCTGAAACATCCAGTTCAAGGCAACTGATCTTGGTCAGTTAACAGTGGCAAAGCCACGGTCTGTACTTGTTAAGGCATCATGAAAAAGAGCAGTACAAGCAAGATTGGAGAAAACGACTGCTGCCATCAACTACAGGAATATGGTTCACAATGAAGAATCATTGTTTTTGGGCAAGATGGCTCCATGTCATACTGCTCGAACAGTTCAATCATTTTGTGGAAAAAATGTTCCTGTGTGACATGAGTAGTGTGTTGTTGCATGAAGATAGTTTATTTTCCATTTATTAGTTTGTGAAATAGTTAAAACCGTGTTTATTTAAAAATTGTGAATTGTTGTATACGAAAAACTGATAGTTTTGAATAAAAATAATAGGAAAGGCAAGTGATTTGTCTCCTCGGAAGATTGCAGCAATGAAAGCTCTTGTCGACACAGAAAATTATTCAAATCGTGAGTTATCTCGAAGGTTGAATGTATCCGAGACATCTATTCGGCGAATTAAGAAAAAAATTGTCCTTGGTGAAGAATTATCCCCACGAAGAAAGAACACCTGTGGACGGAAGAGAATATTTTCACCAAGATCTGACAGATGTTTGAGGAAGATTTGCCATGAAAACAGGTTTGATTCTACTAAACAAATTAAATTTAAATTGGAAAGTAGTGGAATGTGTGTATCTGAAAGGACAGAAAGTACACTACAAATTAATTTTAAAACTTGTAGACCAGCCCACAAACCCAGATTAACAGTTGGTATGAAAAAAAAACGTCTTGCATGGGCTAAGGACCTTAAGAATACAGATTTGGACTTCTAGAAATTGGTAAAAATTTAGTCTAGTGCTTTTTTTATAGTTATACATGACTACCAAACTTCATTCTAATGTCATTTACTTGTACTTCAGGTTTGTTTTAGCGACGAATGCACTTTCGAAATTTTAACAAACAAGCATCAATTTGTGAGAAGGCGCATTGGTGAAAAGTATCATTCAGATTGTGAAACATCCAGTCAAGGCAATGATTTGGTCAGTGATCAGTGGCAAAGGCACAGGTCTGTACTTGGTTAAGGGCATCATGAAACAAGAGCAGTCCAAGCAAGTATTGGAGAAACGACTGCTGCCTCAACTACAGGAATGGTTCACAAATGAAGAATCATTTGTTTTTATGCAAGATGGGGCTCCATACGCTTTATACAAGATACTGCTCGAACAGTTCGACCATTTTTGTTGGAGAAAAATGTTCTTGTGTTACCATGGCTAGGAAATTCACCAGATATGAACCCAATGGAAAATGTTTGGGAGCTCATGAAGAGGGAAATTCGCAAAGGAAGAATTACAACAAAAATTCGCCTCCTTGAGAAAATAATTCAAGTCTGGTACCATCATTAAAAGTTGCAAGAAACTGTCCAGGCATGCATTAATAGCATGCCAAAAAGAATTAAAGCTCTAATAGCCGCCAAAGGTGGCCTGACAAAGTATTTAAGATATATACGTGCATGGAGATTTATGAACATTAGTTTATATACTATACTGACAGTCATAATTTTGCATATATCTTGTTTCTATCATAAGTATTCAATTATTACTTACGTATTTTGTTAGAAATAAAAAAATACATTTTTCTTCGCAAAAACGTGATTTTTATTGAAAATTTAGGGTGCATCTAATAATATGACCAGGGACTGTAATTGCATAACCTAAGATTTCAGCACAGGTTTTTTCCCCACACAGAAATATTTTCAGCAAAAACTGGGCTGCTTGCAAATCTCTCCTTACTCCACTTCATATTAGGTAGATTATAATCTCCAAATAATATACAACTAACATCAGGGAACAACTAACTCTAGAGACTAAAGTCAACATTTGCAATGTAAATTATTGTCTGTTGTTAAAGGCAGAAAACGAACAGCGAATGATCACATTAACGTTATTCAAAGAAATATGTACAAAGAGATGCTGAAATTCAATAAAGAAATAACGCTGAAAGCAGTTATACATATTTTTAATTGTCATAAGCACTGGAATAACTAGTATTGCTACTATTTCTATCATTCTTACATTTCTAAAAATTACTTAATTTAAATTTAGAACTTAAAATATCTGGTGCCACCAGGTTCCAGTAAAAACTTGTCAAAATCATCTAAAATATACATATATTTCTCAATATCCTTTTAACTTTCTATGTAGGCCTCTTTAACATTTTGATACAAAATTTTCGAATTGTCTTTACTTATACATTTTTGATTTACAAGGAAATTTCAGTAAAACGAACTCCAGAATTACATATTTCAGTATTATGTACTAAGTGTATGGATTAATTTTTTTTTTTAAATATTGATTTTTTTTAATCTGCTGTTGACCCCAAATTTTCTGGAATATGTATTTCATAACATTTCCTTTAATGTAATGCTCATCATACGCAAGTGTATTGAATAATATATGAATACTAGAAATCAAGAAGAGAGAGATATGAAGGAATACAACAGCTTCTCATACACGTAGTTGCAGTAAAATATGAAGAAACTATCAAAAATCATCTGTAGAAAATTTACAACAGTGGATAGTTAATATTCTGATAACCTTATTCAATAAAAATTCAGCATCCGTCATCAATTTGTAGACTAAACTGCTAAAAGCTACAATGAGCATACAGTTCTTGTTCACTCATGTCAGTCATTTAATTGCACTAACATGTACTAGATGCAACAAGACCCCATTCATTGATGTTTGGGGAAGGAAATTTAAGTAATTTTTTGTGAGAATGGCATTGTTTCTCAGAAAATTATACATGGCATATGAATTATTAAAATAAAATGAAATAAATATTTTTGAAATCTTATCCAATTTACAATGATGATATTAAATAGTATTTTCACTTTTCTACCACCTTTCACAATTAACCATATTTAGCAGATATAAGTCAACTCTGAAACTTGAAGAGGCCCCTTCAGAATTTTTTTTAATGTTCAACTAATTCTTACTATTTAGTCAAAATAAAATGGCAAATTGTCTATACAACTATAAAATTATCTTGTTCATGAGAACGTTAATAAAACTTATTGCTTCAGCTATCTCTATTTTCTTGTTCTTCAGCAATCTCTCTTGTCAGGCAATGAACCAAAAGTCAGCTTGACCTCCTCAATCAGCGCATTGTGCAACAAAATGTCAGCATTTATATTCATTGTCACCTTGCATTTCACTTGCTACAATGCCATTCAATTGAGGTTCTCTCTTAACCACTTGTTTAAAAAATATTACTCTGAATCTTCTGGCAAATTACAAATTTCATAACGCTGAATGACAATACAAAAACATAAATCCTACAGACTAGATTTAATCTGTGTATATAAGACAACCTGTATTTTTCGAATGGGATAATTAGGAAAAACCTAGTCTTAATTTTCATGTAATTCCAGTAACTTCCCTTAACACCCAATTTTCTCATAAGAAAACAATAAAGCAAGGAATTTTGTACTACTCAATTCAAATCATACCTCTTCTCCTTCTGCATTTTCACTTGCATCTGATGTCCTTGGCTTCTTCTTACCCTTCTTAGATTTCCGTTTCCTTTTCTTTCCCTTTCTGTGAATAATAAGGAAAAAAGTTATAGGATCAAATAATTATATGTGATATAAGAAAGAGAAAATTTTTATGATAAAATTACTTTTTGGTGGTCATCTTGACTTTGGAAAGCTTTGGAGGTTTAGCACTTGCAAAGAACTGGCAGGGAGGAGGAACATAATCAATGGCGTGCGTCAGCCACTTGGCTAACTTCTTCTGCAAGTCCACTAAGCTTTGTAAACGCAGCAAAACCTGTATACAAATGGATCAATATTAAAGACCTTTTGTTCTGAAAATTGACCATTTGTATTATTTAACTACCTGATGAGTAAATAGTTTTACTTCTCTACAAACTTTTCATAGAGCAAAGGAAGAAAAGGTGCTATTAAATACTTACACATCTACGCAATTCAGCATTCTTTTGATAAGCAAAAGCTGATATTAATTCTCTGAACCAGTTAACACAATGAAAGATACAATCTAGCAAAAAGTTTTGCTCCTGGGGGCATGAGAAATCCAAACCATCCTCCTGCTCCATAATACAAGGCATAAGAACCGGACATGTGAGAAGAGCTGCAATATCTCCTAAATTTCCTTCACAGGCCAGGTACTTCACACATCGAACTAGACGGAGGCTGGCAGGCATTACCACAATCGGTGGATATTGGGATCTAAGAACAAAGAAACAGAATCAACTATAAGTTTCAAACAAATAAAAATAATAATAAAAGTAAGCGAAGTAAAATGGAACACCAATAAATAAAACAGCACACTATTGTGGTATTACTGATTTAACTTGTCCAAGTGTCAATTTTCAACACTCTATACTTAAATCATTATTCATAAAAGTGCTTCATAAACCAGGATATTCCCAAAACAGCAAAAACTGATCTACTTTTCAAAATAAAGCAACATAACATATTTAAAACTATTATCCAATTTATCATGAGATCGCCCATCCACAATTTTCCTTATCTCTCAAGTAAAATTATATATTCTGCTTTCTCTCAAAAACCAAATAAGCTCAGAGAGCGCGGAATCGTCGTCGCCGAGATGCCCAGGCCATGTCTTCGTCGACTGCCAACGAATTTCGTACTGCAGCAGGGCGTATTCCACCGCAAGAAACGTCCTGCACAAATCGCAGACTGGGGGAGCTTCACCCCTAAAACGAAAAGCATTGGAAAAGTGACAGGGTCCGATTCGAAGACGGGTTAAAACGACTTCCTCATGCCTAAACGGTCGGTAGGAAGAACGCCATGGTTTATCAGAATCCTTTATCACACTTAGATTAAAAGTGTTGTGCCACGCTCTAAAGAAGGATCGTTACAAAAAAGCCTTAACATAGGATGATGGTACAGAAAAAGGAATATCAATACAAGAGCTCCGCGTCGCTGATTTTGCCACCTAGTCCGCCAGCTCATTCCCTGTGATTCACACATGGCCTGGGACCAAACAGAGTAGCAGATCTTAGTGGCGAAACATGAGACGACAAATCATTATTTGAACTCATTTCATTAGATAGTCTGAGGAAAAAGTGATACGGCTTCAAGAGAGCAGAGAGTATCAGAACAGAGAACTACTCGCCGCAGAGTCGCTGACTCCATGAACATTACGGCATACATTTCTGCATTGAGAATGAAGTTGGTATGACTTGGTGTAAAAGCTCCATGCCACTGCGTCATTGTACGATGAACCGTGTGGAAGAATATAAGATCCGGATAGGATTCCCTCATTTCCTGCAACTGCATCTGGTAAACAAGAAGACTAGTCGTTTGTTTAGGAAGATCGGAGAGCGTGAGGTGGATATTGGGGGGCGGAAGTGTTTCCTAGGTGGGACGAGGTTTCTAGAGTGTTTCACAGGGGAGGGAAATCCAATGTTACGGTCCAGCAAAAGATTTCGCAAACGAATAGTAGCGATGTTCGAAGAATATGAGGTCTCATATTCAGGATGGATAGTTCTTTGGTGACATTAAAGTGTCCTGACACTTAAGCACCATAAGACATCAATAGAATATCTCGCCTTTCTAAGAACGACTTCCCAGTCTGGAGCACAGCTTGCCAAACTCGACATGTGTTCATAACGGGAGGCAAGTTCCTCTACAATTGCGTCTTGGGATGTGATTATCTTACCATTCTTAAGAAGACTAGGCACTGAATTTGGGGAGAATTATCCCCAAATTTGACGCACTTTCCCCCACACCATACACGATAGTGCATGGCAATTGAGGGAGGAGACGTATGCTCTCCACGATGAATTTTTGCTTTCTAGAACGGTTTCCCTGGCCTTCACTCTGCACCTCTCATAATCAATTAGATTATCGGCGGTTGGATACAGCTTCAGGCGCGCCAATGTCTTTTTTAGACACTGACTGCCCTTGAGCAGTACAGGTTTCACCACGGGACATGGGATTTGGTTTCACCACGGGACATGGGATTGCGATTTATCGGTCGACTAGGGGATTACGATATCCGCGACTTGTACTATCGCACTATTAAAATGTGCTGCCATTTGGTCCACACCATTAAAGTTTGTTGGTTCTTGGTCCCAAAAAATCGGCTATCAGTTAAATGTCTGTCTGTGTGTCTGTCCGTGTGTTTGTGATCAATGTTAGTGGCTAAACCGTTCAGCTGATTTTCTCCTAATTTAATATTCCCCAATTGATCTGGCTGATGGCGCAGCCCCTAGATTTTGAAACCGATATTTTAATTTTTGTGGGGTACTTTACATCAAGCCTGTTGGACATTTTCAAGAAAATGGCTCGAAATTTTTTGATTAAATTTTGTTGTTCGACATTCAAGATAATGGCGCAGACCTCATATTCAGTAATATTCCCGATTTTTCGAAAATTGCAAAAATAATTTTTAAAAGTACAAAATTAAAGATAGAGATTTTGGGCATAGACAAAGAATGTTGTAAAAAAGTATCTCCTTCGAAAAGGTCAGGTACAATTGTGTTTAAAACAAGTAGTTTTTGCGCAAAGTAGCTTTGAAATTTACAAAAAACAATTTCTCAAAAATCACTCTAAATTTTTTCTTTAAATTTTCTCCCATATATAATAAGAGGTAGTAAGAAGTATGGTGCTGGTTCCATTTTTTACAAATTTGAAGATAGAGATTTTTGCGTCAAAGTTTGTTGTACAAAATTAGCAATTTAAATAAATAAAAAACTAGTGGTGCATTAGAATAGCGCAGACTTTCTTCTCGCCTGTTTTCTTTCGTCACCTGAAAAACACATATTTTTCATATTTTCTTAATTACTCGGCTCTGTAAAGCTAGAATTGAAACCACCATACACTTATTACTATTATAGAAGTATTAATCACATGTCATAACTGGATTGCTGGGGTCACTAATTGGTGAATATGGAAATAGCACTTTGCAGGGCAACTTTGCTGGTTCGAGTCTTGGACTGGAACTATTATTTGTGAGAATTCTGTGTTGCCACAGGACATAATCGATAATTCCAGTAAAAATATTGGAAACTATTTGACGCAATTCTAATCGCAAATACTATTAATCAAGATAAATGAACTAGAAATGTCCTTATGTGATTTTCGAACTTTCTACTTTTAAACAATTTTTCACATCTCTTATTAGATTAGTAAAATGTACAAATGATCAAATCAATTGTTGTCTTTTGGTGCTTATGACTATTATAGAAGTACCAATTCTATGAATAACCCGGGTGGCTCACGTGGTTACATGTCGAGTTCGGACTCAAGTATTTTGGAGGGAAGGGCTACTGGTCCAATCCTGGCTCAGGGGTAATGATTTTTCAAAACTTCCTGTTGCTGTACAAAACTATTGAGAATTTCAGAAATTTTATTGAAAATCATTTGTCGCAATTCTACTCTCTTATACAGTCTATTAAGATTCAAAATAAACTGGAAGTGCCTGAATGTCATGAATACAAGACAGACATTTACGTAAAAGTTTCGTTTTCCTTCAAGATACTGAAAAAATAACTAGTATTCTAAAATATAGGAAAGAACTGTATCAAAGTCAAAAAATTTATAAAAAAAAAAATTCATTGTAACAGTGAAAATTTAACACACACATTTCTGCAAATCAAACTTACCGTTTGGTGAGACAATCACGATCCACTAACTGAGCAATAGGAATACAAACATCATCATCATCTTCTTCAGGTTCATCCAAATTGAACATCAGTTTCAAATCCTCCCTTTAACAGAAAATTTAAACTATTAAAACTAGACAAATATTATTTAAATCATTTAAATAAAATATGATAATTTTGTGTACAAGAATAACGATAAAAATTGAACCAATTCATGCAATATATTGTATTACATGGTTGCATATCATATGTTGTATACTGCAGTCACAGTTATGATGGCAAGTCAGAGTGAACAATTGAAGAATGCCTCCCGGAACACATTCACTACTCAAAGTACAATTATTTAAATAAATTGGCCTCATCCATCCATGCACGAAAAACTGGACATGCCATTCTTTTTGAAAAATTGAGGTTCCTAGGGGGTTTCACAGGGGAGAGAAGATCAGCGTTTAGGTCTTGCAAAAGATTTCACAATTGAATACCTGGGGACTGTGTAAACAATGTTTGAAAAACATGCGAGATCTCATATTCAAGTCGGATAATTATTCAGCGACCAGAATGGTTACTGTCCTGACCCTTTAGCACCATAAGATGCTAATAAAATATCCCCCCTTCTCTTTAAAGAGGTTCCCCAACCTCATATAAATAGCACTTGATTCGGCCGGTGTGATACGACCAATTGAGAGGCATATATCAGCATGGTGTATGCTGGATGGTTCGGAGAGTAGAGAGAGCTACAGAGCCATACATTTCATTACTGTAATGAAAAACTGAGCGGATGAGTGCACTAAATAACCACAATAGGGTAACGTGATGGGCTCCCCTGACATACCACTCAGAATGTGAAGAAGATTATGGGAGACACGTTTGGTTTGTAGTCTGCGGATATGAGTACATTACGTCACCAGAGAATTTGTAAATGAGAAACCATGGAGCCTGGCAAATTCAGGGAATGCAAGCTATTTCTTCCCAAGTAAAACACTGGATTGGTATGCAATTGTAGAAATGCACACCAGTATATTTGGTACTAAAAAAGCTAAACCCTGTTGACATACTCCATTTGTGGAATATCTTGAGCTTTGGAGACCAATTGAAGCAGCCTCTGAATCACACTGGTGCTGCTGGACAAACAAAAGATGGAAAAATCATCCATAACCAAGGTTCTCACAGTAGACGCTATACCATTTATAGTGATGGCAAACAGTGACATTCAGAACCAATGCTTGAGGGATAAAAGTGATCACTTGGTTATTATCACTACCTTGCAGAAGGAATTTAATGATAATAGGTTATCTTCCAATGATATTCCTGAGAAACATAATTTCTTTGCAGCGAATCACGACAAAATTAAAAAACATTTGAACGAAACCAAGATGTTGAAACAAATTATGAGTGACACGGCACGCCAACTTCTTAAAACCTTCTTGCCAAAATTCAAGATGACAAAAACCCTACTATCTGGAAAAAAACTTATGTCACCCCCATTTTCAAAAAGGGAGATAAGCAAAATCCAAAGAACTACAGACGTATAAATCTCACCAATGCAGTATGCAAAGTAATGGAATCCATAATTGCTGCGAGGATTTGAGATCACGCCCAATGAAATAACATAATCCCAAAGAAACAGCATGGTTTTGACCAAGAACGTTCCACAATCACTAACTTACTCACATCATTGGATGTTTGGACAAAAGCCATAGATCTAAACAAGCCTATGGATGTAATATATTTGGATCATGCAAAAGCTTTTGATAATGTACCACATAAACGTTTATTACAAACTGTATTCATTAGGGATACAAGAGAAAATTCTTGCGTGGATACATGCATTTTTGTCAAACAGAACCTTCCAAATCAGGATTGGACAACATTTTTCAGCATCCAGAGTAGTCTCTAGTGGAGTACCTCAAGGTTCTGTCCTGGGACCTCTGCTATTTGTATTATATACTAGCAATCTGGGAAATGAGTTATCTTTGACTTGGAATTGCTACGCTCACGATACTAAACTCTTTGCCAATTCTTTGACATCTCATGCTGAGTTACAAAAAGATCTTGATGACGTGGCAAACTCGTCTGAAACTTGGTTGCTTCCTCTGAATACAGACAAATGTATGACTCTACACATTGGAAAAAATAACCCCAAACTATCACACTCTATAAATGGACACACCTTGGCAGAGACCTACCAACAAAACGATTTAGGTGTGATCATAACACAGAATCTTAAATGAGAAAGTCAAATTAACAACGTAACTAAGAGAGCAAACACTGCTCTACATCTGATAAGGAAGGCCTTCTTGACTTTGAATTCCCCAGCATTAAAGAAAATTTTCTCTACATTCATAAAACCCATAATTGAATATGCAGGTGTAGTGTTGTATCCATGTCTCAAAAAAGACAAGAAACACCTAGAGAGAATACAGAGGATAGCAACTAGGATTCCGATTTCTATTAGAAATCTACAATATTATGAGATGTGAGAAACTAACATTGCTGACATTAGAAAAAAGAAGAGAAAGAATTGACATTATAGAAATATACAAAATATTGAACAAGGTGTACAATGTCTCATACTTGTACACACTATTAAGTCTTTTAAATCCTGTTTAGATAATTACTATCAAATGAACGGAGTTTATATGTGTATGTATGTGTGTATATATGGGTGTGTTGTGTACATATATGTACGATCATCTGATTAATTTATTATAATTACATCAAACTGGGATATAAAAGAAATGTATTTTATATTTCCTTATATTTTATAGGGTAATACAAACTACGTCGATGTTTTGTAACAGATATGTGTACATCAGCTTGTTGCTGTTTCCATAAATTTTATAATTAATTAAAATAGGCATTTTCCTAAATATCTGATGTCTAATTATAATGTACTATTAAAAGTATACTACATTTATGTAAATTACCAACCACTTCTGTAATGTACATCTAGTAGTAACAAACAAATACTTCATACTTTATATTTCTTTGACTATTATTTTACAGGAAAGAGACTGTCCCATTTGTGTTAACCTACCCTCATCTATGCTTAATAGCCAACAATTGTAATAATTGAGAAGAAATTGAAACTCACTCAAATGTTAAACCTTTCCTTGGAACAACGTATTTTTCTTCAAAGCTTTGACCTATGTAGTCTGTGATCCAAGACTGTAAATAAAACAAAAAAAAGTTTTGTTAACATTAAAATAGTTTACACAAAATAAAGGGTAATCCCAAACTACTCACCAAGAAACTGTCATTCAAAACTTCAACACTGCACAATACAGATGACAATTTGTCCAAAAATAAACCTGTTGCATCAGGGAAATATTCAGTTGATGTTGTCACCCATTCTGAAAGAGGAACATTCACATATATTTAATACTAAATTTTTGAAATGCATAATCAACTTTGATGAATTTTTATTCATTTTGTAACACTTGATATTTGAATAAAGCTAAAAAATGCATAGCAATAAGAAATAGATATCACACTACTAGTCACAATGATTACAAAAATGTCTTTCCATGGTTATAATATAAATTTTCTTTTCTTTGAATAAAATTTCAAAAGCCAAGCCAATTATTGAAAGGGGACATATCTATGTCAAATAACACCTCTCCACCCAAGGACATTAAAGGGAAGCTAGAGTAGAATGAAGGAGATTTTATGTTACATATTGCATACCATACATTGAAATCTGTAGGTCCCTACGGTGTAATCTTATGCAAATTGACTGACAACAACCATCTCCGAAAGAAGGAGAAACTATCTGAACCTCTGTGAAAATTCCACATTTTGTAAAGCATTGTTTTATAAGAGAAAAACTTGATGGCCGCATGGCACGATCTTACTATGCACCTAGTACTAGTTTTTGCTAGTAAGGCCACAAGATAACCTATAGGAGTGATGATCCACTAGCAGAACATGCAATGTTATAATCTGCTTAATACACCTGAAGAAAGAGCAAAACATAGCTTCGATATGTTATGAATGTTATGAGTTCAATAAAACTAGGTTAAATTTTCTTTTGATGTTACTGTTTATTAATAGAATAATTTCCCAGGTGGTGATTGTCGAATAAACAACGACCTAAAAATTATAATAAACCAAATGAATAAATTTAACAGTAACAGTATTGCAGCACATAATCCAGAAAAGCAAGAATGACACACAAGTCTGCCTTGATTACATTGAACTGAGCTTTTAATATAAGAATACCATAATCAGTGATCAAAACATCTTTACGTAAAGAAGTGTTTGTTAAATCTAAGTTAAAATTATTACCTTCCTTTAATCTATTTCTTCCCGTAAAAATGTTATCTACATCATACACTCATTACAACCAACAACAATTTGATAAATTCGACGAATTTGAAACCACAGTGATGCCATTTTGCGAAATGACAATGCATCAAACAAAGCACGTCAAATTCTAATTTGCAACTTGGAATTTTTTTGCAATTTTCGAAAACACACGAGTGCAAAAATGGGACCGTCACCATTATTTTTGCAATTCTTTGCTACATACACACTAATCTCCAAACCGCTATTTATTTAATCTTAAACCTGTTGAATGCAGAACAGTGGAGCAAGCCCTTTTCCAGCAGTAGTGAACTTACAGTATTTTGTGTTTTTGCTTTCGTAAAAACTTCATCTTTCTTTAGCGAATTTTATAGAAAGAGGATATCAGCTATTTGTAAAGTTTCACATTTAATTTCTCAAAAATATAATTTCTCTACATGCTGAGTTCAATACAAAATAATTACCATATTTTATTTTAATCAATTCACAAAATACTTTTTCCAAGAGTTATGACAATGGGACAAAGAATTTTTTCAATGAGATAGCAATAAATCTTTTTTCATTTTTGTTTTATAGAACCTTAAAAAAGCATTTATTTTTACATTAAAATGATGAGCATAACGAACTGGTTCTACTACTACATCATACTTCAAAACACTGCAAATGTATCTTACTAATTCTACAGAAAGAAATGTTTGAAACAGAAACAAAACACAATATTCTACTCGCTCAGCAGCAATGTGTTGCATATTCTTGAAATTTGGAACACCCACATTTGAAAAACTTTTCCTGAGCAGAACGCAGATGGTTGCTATCTCACAGCATGAGTGTGGGCCTGGAATCAGGATTACAGTCAACATCATAACAGGCTTTATGGCAAGTTTAGCCTATTCTCTATTTCCAGAATTGATATTGCTGGTCACAACCTCACTTGACCCTACTGGTGTTCAGTTTTTAATAAAAGATAAGTGGAAGACTGTCTTGCAAAGGCAGTGCATTCTGTGAGTCACTTGTTGAAGCTTGTATAGTAGGCGATGTTTTCTCAGAATGTGAAACATTTCTTCAGCAGCTACATTTATTTGTTTTTCTTTACATGACTGCAAAAATCCGCAAGGAAAGGCAAAGACTGAACTGCTTGAACAAAAACGGAGAGGAATGTAGACAGGAACTGAGATTACTGATTAAAAGGTTTTATTCTGTCTACTGCTTGGAAAATCCATTGTTGTTGAACAGCATTTGAGCAGCAATCAACATATTCAAAATGCAACATATTGAACAGGAAAATTAACATTTGTTTGTGCCCAGCACAAATCCTGACCGCACAACAGCACCCTCCAAATTCTCCATGTACTGTGCAGACTTGTGTCATGTTTTTTGTTTCTGCTGACAAAGCAAATGGTAAACAATCCTTCATTAAAATTTTTTCTTGTCAAATCCAAAAATTGAACCCCCTGATAAATCAACACTGTGTACGCTATCTTCCACAGTGCTAAGAAGAAACCACTTAACATATTTGTAGTCTGCCAAGAAAAGAAAATATAGGTGTGAGTCACTAACTCTAGTGGCACATAAGTCAGAAATGTCATGAGAGTTCTGAGAACTTTGAAAGAACGTGAAAGAAAATGCTTGCTTCTGAGGTGTGAGGAAATGACTGTAGTAAAACCTATTACCATTACAAGCCTTTTCAATGATGAGACGATGCACTTGCTTTGGCCCAATGAGGTAAAGTACAAGAATGTTTTGCTTTTCCTAATAAATGCAGCAGTAAACATGAAAATATGAATATGGCTGCAAACTGCCATGTTTTGAGATATATTCCAAAATTATTTATGTAACTTGCATAGTTCATGCGTTACAGAGATTGTGAAAAATGTGGATGTCCAACATACTCATCTCAAATGGAAAGAAATTTTATAAAATATCCCACTAGGATTGATTTATTCATGACAAAGAACCCTGATATTTTTATCCCACTGCGCCCAGTGTTAAGATAATGGGGATGTGGTTGAATGCTGTAGAGCATTGTGCATATAAATATGAAGGTTTCAAATCTATGATCTACAACCTTAAGTAAAAGGATGCTTCTTCAACTGAATTACAGTCTCTGTACTCGATACTAACATTGAAAACAATTATCTTCATTACATCAAATTCTGGTTTTTGATCAAGATTCTAAATACACTAGAAAAATGTAACAATTCTTTGCCTAAGACAGTGAAAGACATTTCTCAGGTTGAGGAAAACTGACAAGTCTAAAAGGACCACGCATCAAACAAAGATATTAAGATATATGTTGAACACTTACTCTCTTTGGGGTCTTTTCTGACTCGAGGTGCAAATAATGTTTAGTAACACTCTGAAAATTATTCACATGAAGTTCTCCTTTTCGATACACTATTTTATGTTCAATTTTACATGTGTTTTAAACTTTTAAGTTTTTTTTGGTTTGAAGTAATTTAATTTGCGGCTGCGGTCAGAAATCCTTCTAAATATATTCCGTGTTACATGTATCAATTATAAGAAAAACTAGTGATATGAAATATTAAAGAATGATCATGTAAATAATTTACACTGTAAATGCTTGTGAATCAACGCAAACAATACCTGATAAGACATTAGAGATCACATTTTTTCAAATAGCATAATTTATATATTATATTAATATTTCAAATAATTCAAAATAGCACCTGCGCATGAAATATATGTTAACTATTGGGTAAAGTGTATGGGGTCAAATCTGACCTGAGTCCACGTAAGTAATGGAGAAGCAGAGTTGAAACACATCCCAATCATATCTAGTGATATATAACATTCTTTTTTTACATTACAATGACCTCTTGTGAGAAAATCAAGAAAATATTGCTATGAACAATTTGAAATTATTTCCTACCTATTTCAAAACAGATATGTTTTAAATATTGTATACTATAATAAATTATAGTGTACTTTTGATTACATTTGTGATTAATTATTTTAAATATTATACAGAATTACACTGCTTTAGGCATAACTAGAGTACTATTGTCTGTAAATTCAACAATTCAACATAAGAAAATAATAGAGGTATCTTATATTGTGAGATACTGTATATGTTCTGTGTGCAAGTAGCGGTTGGCAGTTCCTATGTTGGTAGTGTCATGCCTAATGTAACTAGTGCACATGAGTATGGCATAGTGTTTACACACACTGTTGATCTGGTTTCATGTATTCCATTTCTCACAATTATGTTTATATTTATAATACTTATATATAAATATGTTTGGCTATGAGTTAAGTGCCATGCTCAGCTTGTGTGTTTTGCTATAGCTGCCTCTCTGATATATATCAATGCTGCTGTTCTAATAAAATAAGTAGAGGATCAAAATCATTCTTAGTATGTTAAATTTATATTTAACTTACCCATGAGCTCAATGGCCTGCTTGATATTGTCACCAACAACAGAATCTTTTCCAGTCTCCTTTGAGGCCATGTGTTTTGCAGCTAGTATAGCACCAATTACACCCTTCTTTCTCACCCTAGAAAAATTAATTTCAGAACCTTTAACCAAAGATATAATAATAATAATAATAATAATAATAATAATAATAATAATAATATAATATATTAAACTTGTTTATTACTCTAGTGATGTCAGCTAATGCAAAACGCTTTAAGGAGTAAAAAAAAGTCTACAGATAATAAGAAAATTTAGGCTGTTATTTTCCTTCTTTAGTTTAAAAAAATAAAAGCGTTAAAACATCTTGCAAGTTGTGTACAAATTCAAAATCACAAATCTTCACAATTCGTAAGCCTCACTGAAAACAAGACCTTGATGGGCCATTACAACCTTTTTAGTCTTACAGCAGAGCAGTTAATTAATTCCAAAAAATCTAAAATTTTTTCCTGAATGACAACTCATAACAGTAATGACAACACAAACTTTGAAACAAAGTTTAGAGAGCCTAAGCATAACACTTACTCTGGGCTCCAGCTTGCCAGCTGCTTGCGTGCAAGCATGAGAATATTATCATCCATGGCACTACCACTGTGTGTTTCAGAGCCAAAGGCTACACGACATAACATCTCCATGATCATTTCAACCACACTGGCATCCACATCAGGAACTTTATCAAGCAGATTCTGCAAGATGAGCATTATATATTATCCAAGAATACTTACTTAAGAAAATAATTACACAAGAAACAGTGATATAGGAATTTTAAGATATTAATTCTAGCAAACAATATAACTGATGAAAGGGGTATCGGTATAATATATGTATAATAATAAAAATTAATAATAATAATAATAATAATAATAATAGATAATATATATATATATATAATATATATATATATATATATATATATATAATATATATATATATATATATATATTTATATATTTATATTTCACTTTTTATCTTATATTTTGCACCAGACAGCTCAATATAAATAAAAGTTATTTATTACTTTCTTATTTATTTTCTTAAAATTACATTTCGTTTTAGTACTTTTGGTAGTTTTACTGTTTTATGTTTATAAGATAAATAAAAACAAAATTGTAAAAATATTATAACCTATTGTAATTTGAATATTGAACTAATGAAGATTTCAACTAAAAGTAAAGAGTTTTTATACTTTATCCACCATACCAGAATACATTTGTAGCTTTGATTTGACAGATTATTTAAAAACAACGGAAACTCTTTTTCTCTACACACACATGAAAATGATCTGAAATTATGCAAATGTTTAATAAATTAACAGTTTTTAATTAAGTGAGAACAATAACTGTGATTTTCAAACAGTATAAAGATGTGCATGACTACAAAAACGAATATGAGTATCGGAAGGAACATTAATCAGTTCAGTGTTTCAAAAGCACATGAAACAATATTTTTATGTAGCAGCAGTTCTCTGGAAAGGCATTTCAAATAATTCTATCTCTCTAGCCAGTACTGTGATATGAGATCATTGTAACTTGATTGAGAAGATAGTTTGGACATCGATAGAGATTCTGACTCTTCCGATAGCCATTTCTACTTCTTACAGCTTTCTGAATCTTACTATACGGAAGAGGATGATAAACAATCTACGCCCTTCAATGTGACGTATGTGACATTATGTTGTAGATGTAGATGGCAGACATTTTGCATTTGGTGATGTTAAACCAAGTATCAATTATTACGCCTTTCAGATACACCGTAAATCTGCGATGTAGAATCAAACGGTTTGTTTCCAAAATCTGCTGCATACATGAAAAACAAGGGTGAGTGCATCATCTAGTCCCAACTTAACAGTATTTTAACAACATTACAAATAATATTTAACATTATTTGTAATATTGCTCTATTTTGTATTAACTCATATTATTTTTAGTTAAAATATTAATTCATTCAATATTCAAATTACAATTGAATATAATTAGGAAGAGTTTCATGCCCTAAAACATCTGGAAATATGCTTTTAAAAATATGTATTTATGACCTAAATATTCTGAAAAATGCTCTTTAATACACACTTAAAATTAATAATATTTCATTTCCTATATACACCTTTCTTGATGAAATTCAAGACAAGCATACATGAAAAGGTATATTTTCATGCAAACATAATACACATAAGAGCCAAAAACTGGTACACTTAACTAATACCGTAGAACTAGGCATAGAGACACAGAAATAGGCAAGAAGTCACAAGTGCCGCAACATGATGTGGCGTGAACTCGACTAATGTCTGAAGTAGTACTGGAGGTAATTGACATCATGAATCCTGCTGGGCTGTCCATAAACTCGTAAGAGTATGAGGGGGTGGAGATTGCTTCTGAACAGTAAGCAAAGAATTCCAGATATGCTCAATAATGTTCATGCCTGGGGATTATAGGGGTCAGAGGAAGTGTGTAAATTCAGTGTTCCTGTAGCAAATCTGTAGCAATCCTGGATGAGTGGAATGTGGCATTGTTCTTCTGGAATTGTCCAAGTCCATCAGGATGTATAATGGACATGAATGGGTGCAGGTGATCACACAGGATGCTTACATACAGGTCATCTGTCAGTTGTACCTAGACACATCAGGGGTCTCATATCACTCCACCTGCACACACCCCAATAACATCAGAGCCTCCACCACCTTGAACAGTCCTCTGTTCGCATTCAGGGTCCATGGATTAATGATGTTGTCACCGTACTTGTACACGTCCATCCACTCGAAACAATGTGAAACAAAATACATCAGACTAGGCAATGTGTTTCCAGTCATCAACAGTCCAATGTCAAGGGTTGACGGGCCCAGGTGATGCTTTGTGATGGGCAGAAATAAAGGATACACGAGTGAGCCTTCTGCTCCAAATCCGCATATCAATAATGTCTCATTGAATGGTTTACATGCTGGCACTTGATGATTCAGCAATGAAATCGGCAGCAATTTACGGAGGGGTTGTACTTCTTTCACATATAATGGTTCTCCTTGGTCATCGTCGGTCCCGTTCTTGCAATTACCTTTTTTGCAGCCACAGCAATGCAGGAGGTTTCATGTGTTACTGGATTCCCAATATTCATGGTACACACGTGAGACTGTCATACATAAAAATCTAAATTTCATCGCAACCACGGAGATGCTATGTGCCATCTCTCTAACACCGTCTATAATAAATACCATGTTCGGTCACTTAAATCATGATAACCTGCCATTGTAGCAGTAGTAACTGATCTAACAACTGTACCAGACTAAGGTACAGTGGTTAGTTGTAATATAGTCGTTTCTGACCTTATTTTGTTTGGTTCCAATCTCTCTATTTCAATATTCATGATTGTACCAGCTTTTTTTGGCTCTTCAGTGTACAATCTTACTTTGCAGGAGAAATGATTAAAGTAAAGATTCAGCTTGGAAAAGTTCATTGAATGTCTAGTTGCATTTCTTCTGCCTAATTTCAAAAAATGTGATATCAAGAATTAACCTACATTTGTACAAATATTTTATTACAGAAAAGAAAGGGAGAAACCGCAAACTGATATAAACATTCTGTAATCAATGAATGCTCACTAATAAATAGATTATATGAAAAGATAACATGTTTTGGAGATAAGTCTCTATTTTAAAGAAATATGCAAAATATGCGCCTATAATGACACGACTATACACTAGTAGGGAAAATTAGCCAAATATGCACAAACATTGACCTACATAGTATCCAACTGAACAATTTAATGTCAAAAAATTTCTATTAGCTATGAAATGAAAAAATGACCAAAATGGGCAAAATCATAGATATCCCCTCTAGTTATATTATTATTATTATTATTATTATTATTATTATTATTATTATTATTATTATTATATTATTCTTGCAATTTTGTTTTTCGTTATTTACCATCTCTAATAAACATAAACCCTGAAAACTACAAAAATTGATAAAACAAAACCTAATTTTGGGAAAATAAGGAAGAAATTATTAAAATAGTTTTATTTATATTGAGCTGTCGGATGCAAATTAGAAGATAAAAGGTTGAAATTTTGGGAAAGTACAGAATTTACAGGCTACAATTTGTATTTAGCCCTTTTTATGATCTGCATCAGAACATGAGATATTCTTAAAAAAAAAAAAAAGGAAAAAATATTTTTTTTTCTATTTTCTACTTCATTCTTGTAGATAGTAAGAGTCAAAATCTGATATAAACATACCATTCATACTGTTACGTGTAACTGTTGTGTACATTTCTGTTTTGTGTTAAGTTCATGGTCCTTAAACAGTATATAAATAAACATTTTAAACTTGGACGGAAAGACAATATTCTCTTACACACTACTCATTTTCTTTTGGAAGTTAAGCCTGTATTTACTCCCCTAATGACACTCACCAAAAGTAGCCACTGATGTGGCAGTAATGTACTCAAATTCTCCATTGCCAAAGTAGTCAACACAGAGAGAGCAGCGCGCATGGTCCCAGCACTGCCTGTCCCTACATGTATCAGGAGGCGCTGCACCACAGCCTGTGCCTGCCAGGAAGGCAGATGTAGAAGGCATAACCTACGCCAGACAAAGCAAGCACTTTTTAAGGTCGAAGGCACAAACGATTTTACCAAAAATACGCTCACCGCCTCTCTTTACATGTGTGCCTACTGCATTGGGGCAGCTTACATTTAATAGGAACAGAAGAATATGAAATAGTAATCCCCCAAAAATTAGAAAAGCTTAAGAAAAAACGTATTTTATTTACCAAGATACATTAAATAGTAATTATTGCCCTCATCTGCTGTATCCATCAATTTCCAAAATAACAATTTAATCATAGTTCTAGGATTAATTTGAATGAAATGTTAAAAATAATCCTCACAACAGCCCAAATTCTACCCAATTACAAACTACTGCTATTTTATTGAACAAATACAAACTACTCTCAATTCTTACTTGTACCAACATGACGCGTGATCTACTACTGCTGGATCAGGGGACTTCAACAGTACAAATAAAATCTCCATGAGGGCAGAACGATATTCCTTGATAACCTATATAAAAAAGCAATAATTAGGATTAGGAAATAAAAAAATCTTTATTGTAACATTTGTAATATAAAACTCAAATGGGTACCATAACACTGTACAAAATTGAAAACGTAATTGAAGAATAATTTCGCAAAAGCATTGTAACATGATTTGATATTTCCATAGAATACATAGAATAGTTAATCTTACAACTCACCACCAGCATAGTTGAGAATGTAGTAACAAGTAGTTTTTCACGGAAAATGCCCAACCGTGCCTTGCTCTTAAATAAAGCTTGTACAGTTGACTGTGCAACTGGAACATTAGCATGAAGAACCAAGAGCATTATCAAATCAAGAGGTTTATGTTTAGATGCAGAATGTACTCCCTTGATTGCATTAAGCCAAGCTTCTGCCATTGCCCGAAAACTCATTACTGATAATTTGAGAACTTCCACAGTCAGTAGTTCACAGTTCTCGACTGAAGTGGATCCTTTAGTGTTTGAATTCCCTGCCAGTGATAGCAGCGGTGAAGTAAAATCCAGGTGTTGACGAAAGCTTGATACAATCTAACAACATAATACCAAAGATATACAAAGAATAGTTATTGGTTGCATCATCAGGTGTTCTGGGACTTGAAGAATTGATTAAAAGATTTAAACAATTATTTTTCGGTGCTGTTGGTCAAATCTTAAATGGATTATTAAGTCTCTTCCATCCATTTTATTATACCTAAATTTGTCTAAGTGTGATTTTTAACGTCTTTGTTATTTGTCTCAGAACAGCTGAAGATGTGACCAATTGGGGCACAAAACGTGGTTTATGCAAGAAACAACTAAAACATAAGTAATTTAGAATGATTTGTTTTATTGTCTGTAATTTGAGAGGATACCACAGTATGCAATAATATTAAATAGATAGTCAATAATTTTTGGTCTCTCCCTGTTAATAAGAATGTTCAATGGTTCTAAGTGAAAGGTGGAACCCTAGTGTTACACATATATCTTGATTTGAATTGATGTACTAAAAACCATTCAAATGAAGTCTTTGTGTCAAGTATATACTTCATTATGCCACTAATATAATTTTTCTTTATCGCAAATAATTCAATATTTCATTCATTTACCCTCACTTATTCGATATTCTTTCCATCATACACTTTTACTAATCAATGAATCAGTCCTTTCATCTTACAGTTCAGTAATATCTACTCAAAATTAATTATCTACTCAAATATAGTCAGTCAATCAAACTCAATTATAATCTATTTAAAATTTCCTTCAATTTATGTACAATACTTTTTGTTACACACACCATTTAGATTCAACAGGTAGTTGATGTTTAACAAATGGTAGAACTTCTTACTTTTCGGTCAGATTGGTATTGAAATGGCTAACTAGAAATCTTATCTGAGTTCAGTAACTTTAAGTCTTGCTAATAATTTTCAAACTACGGCCAATAATTATTAAAACTCCTGCCAAATATACTCTATGGACACAAAAAACCAATTAACTAGTTATTGGTTCATAGGTTTTCTGTTTTGCCAAGAGTTTTGTTATGTAATGATCAATATTACAGATCAATAAAACCTAATAAAGTTGTTATTGCTATTATTGTTGTTGGTGGTGGTGTGCTAGAGGGGATGTTGGATGCAGGTCTCGACCATACAGGATCAAACCTCAAATAGACACCAGGAAGCATAAATCTTGTTGTTTACTTATTAGAATCACAACAGGTTTTTCATTTTTTTGTTTTTGATGAAATTCTGGATTTGCCAAATTTATTGCAGAGACTACCAGTTTGTATACCATAGCAAATATCTGATTTCTAGAATGTATCAAAAGATAATTCAGAACTTTTCCTGAAAACATTTGTTTCTGATACCAGTCAATTATTATTTCATTTTCTTTATCTGTTAGTTTAAGATTTAGAAAGCTAATTTCTCTATTGCTGTTCCAATTCAGAAGTTAAAATTCATCTGGCATGAAATTTGTTGTGTATGTCAACCAAGGTATCAATATTACATTGACGCAAACAAATAATCAAGTCATCCATGTACCTGTAATAAAATACTACATGAAAGTGAATTTGGGAGATGACGACTTCTATTTGTTCCATAATTAGGTTGACAGCAGTAAGTCAATTCCTCCATCATGTCAAGTCCAACATTTGTAAAGGATTACTGTTGTCAGCAAATATTTTTTTATATAATTTTTTATCAATTATTACACCCAGATCCTTATAATGAAAAACAACTTCCAATATCTAAACCACCAATGGAATAATTAAGAATCCCCGACATTTTTAATTACGACCTTATGACCATGAATATACAATCATCTGCAAAGAAATTAAATGAGGAGAATTTTAGCAGTGTTCATATCTTTAATATAAAAAAGTAGCAATGAACCTAAGGAGGCAGCTTGAGGAACTCCTGAATTGCGATATAAGGTATAGATTTACATTCCATGTATTAAATTATTGAAGTTCTATTTGTCAAATAACTGATAAACCAATTCAAGGAAACCCCATGGATATTCAAAGCCTAGATTTATTATTCAAAATATTCAGATGTACTTCATGAAAAGCTTTGCTTAAATAAATATTTATAATTAACATTTAAAAAAGATTATAGAAAGATTTTTCAAAAAAAATAAGTTTCAAAAAGTCAGTAACAATTCTTTGAAAAAACTACTGGTTTTCGCAGTTTCTGCTCAAAATGAAGGCAATTTATAAAAAAAAGATTTTCTTAAACACTGCTCAAAATTTTATCTTTGAATTTTTTCCATGGAAAAAACAAGCGAAGGTTCACATAACAGAATAGGTCTCATTTTCATTGAACTCTCTGAATTATCAAAAATTGAATGTTGAAAATAATGGAAGACACAATTAGATTTTCATGCAAGTGTCAGCCCAAATGAATATGTCAGATCGTCTGTGTGCTGTAGCAATGAAGTGCACAGCTAATTAACTTAATGGAACTGAGAGTCGGCATAAAAAAAAATTTGTTGGTTGAAAGCACTTTCAGGTACATGTAGTACAATTATATTTTGGAGATTTTACAGATAATGAAATTAAGTATGTGCTGTTGTAGTGTAAAGTATGTGTGTCGCTAGTTTAAAAATGCAATGAAAATTCTTTCAGTCATTTGCCAATAATATTTTTTTAAAGTCAAAGTTCTCAACAAAAAAATACTTCAAAACCGATCTTTTTTTATTTAATTTATTAAAAGCCCCTTTTAACAAATAAGGTAGCAAAAATTATTAGTTCTATACACAATTCCCTGAACCCATTAAATCATTAAATTAAATTAATAGCTATAACTACTGTACGCATTATCTAGTAAACAAAGACAACTTACCTTAGGCATCTCATCAGAATTTGTGACCGTCACAAGGAAACGCACCACATTTGGAAGATAATCAAGCTGCACAGATCCCAAACATTTCATCACATTTTCACTCACTGATTTTTGCAATTCAGGTGTTAATGTCAAATTGGTTAATGCATCTAATATGGATGGAGTAACAGGACTCATTTCACAATCCCATAACAGAAGTTCACTGTAAAAAAATTTATTTCATAAGTAGAATTGCCCTCTCCCCAACTGATCAGCACAAAAAGTGTTCAGTTCAAAGTTTTTAATATTAATTTATGAATATCACATACCTTAGTTTTTTAGCAGTTTCCTCATGCTGTGAATCAAGAATTATAT